AAAACTTTCTGGAAAGAGTTCACCATTCCTTTTTTTTTTGAGACAGTCTCACTATGTTGCCCTCTGTAGAGTGCTGTGGTGTCACGGCTCACAGCAACCTCAAACTCTTGGGCTTAAGCAATTCTCTTGCCTCAGCCTCCCAAGTAGCTGGGACCACAGATGCCTGCCACAACACCTGGCTGTTTTTTGGTTGTAGTTGTCTTTGTTGTTTGGCAGGCTGGGGTTGGATTTGAACCACCAGCTATGGTGCATGTGGCTGGTGCCGCTGAGCTACAGGTGCTGAGCTGGGTTCAGCATACCTGATGTCATTAAGAACATTTATGATTTGTGGGAGGCGGTCAGAATAACAGGAATTTGGGAGAAGTTGATTCCAGCCTTCATGAATGACTTTCAGGGGCTCACTGGAGAAAGTAACTGCAGATGTGGAAATAGCAAGAGAACTAGAATTAGAAATGGAGCCTGAAGATGTGGCTGAATTGCTACAATTTCATAGTAAAACTTGAATAGATGAGAGATTATTTCTTATGGATGAGCAAAGAAAGTGGTTTTTTGAGATAGGCTCTCTACTTTTGGTGAAGATGGTATGAGCATTGCTGAAATGACAACAAAGGATTTAGAGCATTACATTAACTTGGCAAAGCAGCAGTGGGGTTTGATAGGATTGATTCCAGTTCTGAATGAAGTTCTACTGTGGGTAAAATGCTGTCAAACAGCATCACATACATAGAGAAATCTTTGATGAAAGGAAGAGTCTACTGATGTGGCAAACTTCAGTGTTATCTTATTTTAAGAGATTGCCACAGCAATTATCACTCTGCTCAATGAGCAGCCATCATCATTGAGGCAAGACCCTGCACCCGCAAAAATATTATAACCTGCTGAAGGCTGAGATGATCATTATCATTTTTTAGCAATAAAGCATTTTTAATTAAGGTATGCAGTTTTTTTTTTTTTTTTTTAGATATAATGCTGTTCTTCACTTACTAGGCTATAGTATAAATATCCTGGGAAACTAAAAAGTTTGTGTTACTTGCTTTATTGGAACATTCACGTTATTGCAATATTCACTTATTGCAGTTGTCTGGAACTGAACTCAAGATATCTCCAAGGTATACCTGTACTTGCTCTTGTACCTTTTTATTTTTTTATTTTTAGAGACAGGGTCTCTTTTGCCCAGCCTGGGGTGCGGTGTGTAGGCAGTTGTGTGATCACAACTCACTTTAAATGCCTGGGCTCAATTGATCCTCCCACTTCAGCCTCCTGCATAGCTATGAGTACAGACAGACACAACAGCATGCCCAGCTAATTTTCAAACTTTTTGTAGAGATGGTGGTCTCTCTATGTTGCTCAGGCTGGTCTCAAACTCTTTGCCTAAAGAGGCCGAAGTGTTGCCACTGCACCTGACATTTGTACCTTTTAAAATCTTTTGGCTGAGTTATTTGTTCTGCTTTCAACAAGGCTGTATATGAAGTATATACGTATACTCATGAAATAAATTTTCTTCCTACAGAAGTCAAATTTTCTACTATTCTGCTGGGATGAGTATGGGAATTTTGGCCTCTCTACTAATCATCATTTTTATACTGTATAAGTTTATGCCCAAGGTAAGTAGTAAAATCCTCATGCACAATTAGGATGAACTGGGATAACTGAGGGCTATTTTCCTGGGCTGTCTTAGAACACTAAAAATTTGCATTGGTGGCTGATGAGTCAGTGTCCTACTCCTTCTTTGATTCAAAAAGGTACTTTCCACGGTGAAACTTGGAGTCTAATTACAGGCAAATTCTTCTTATTTAAAATCCTGTGCTCTCCTGTGCTCAGTGGGAGATTAAAGTCTCTGCTTCCTGTTTTTCAATTACATAGCCAGGGACAGTTATTTAGCATCTCATCTTCTCAGTGTATCTTACAGACAGTACCATTTTAAATATAAAGGACATCTTTTTGAGAGAGATACTTTTTCGTGCATTTTGAGTAGGTCAAAAATTTAAAAAAACCTTTGTTCCATTTTGCTCCTTTTATGTATGGAAAGCTTATTGTAACTTTTTGCTTTCGCTTCTACTCTCTGTCTTAGAAAAGTCCCATTTACGTCATCCTGGTAGGAGGCTGGTCTTTTTCTCTGTACCTCATTCAACTAGTTTTTAAAAATTTACAAGAGATCTGGAGGTGTTACTGGCAGTATCTGTTAAGTAAGTGTTTCTGGTTTTGCTTTCCTTTTTGTATGTTTTTGGGGTGTTTCAGTAAATTTAATCATGAAAAAAATTGCCTGCTTACAGGAGATAATCTTTCATGTCATTTGTAAAAGTTTTAAAAATCATGAATTTTCACATCTAATCCTTGTGTAGTCATTACCTTCTCTTACATTAAAATGATGCTACTGGCTCGGCGCCTATAGCTCAACCGGCTAAGGCGCTAGCCACGTACACCTAAGGTGGCGGGTTCGAATCCCCAGTCCGGACCTGCCAAACAACAATGACGGCTGCAACCAAAAAATAGCCGGGCGTTGTGGCGGGTGCCTGTGGTCCCAGCTACTTGGGAGGCTGAGGCAGGAGACTCGCTTGAGCCCAGGAGTTGGAGGTTGCTGTGAGCTGTAATGCCACAGCACTCTACCCAGGGGGACAGCTTGAGGCTCTGTCTCAAAAAAAAAAAAAAGATGCTACTAAGGAGAAGATACTGATTTATTGGTATTTGTAAATGTACCTCTCTTTACACAATAAGTAATCTTCTGAAAAAGCTATAAATTGATTTCATTAATATAATCATATTTTAAATAGACTTAGGGACCTTAAATAAAGGACTCTGCAGTGAATTTTTATAAAGTATGAGTCCTGCTCTTTTTCCCCTCTTCCCCCTCGCTATTTTCTACTCTCCCTGTCTCTCTCCTCTTCTCCACTCTCTCCTCATCTCTCTCCCTCTTCTCTCTCCTCTCTTCTCTTCTCTTTTTCTCTCCTCCTTGGGCTGCTCTGCAGCCTCCCTCCCCCACCAATAAAGACCTTTCATACCAAAAAAAAAAGAAGTATGAGTCCTTTGGTCATATAGGTAGTAACCTTTGATTTATCCTTTGAGAGGTGATTAATCTGGATTTTCATATATTGGGTTTTTTAAATAGATAGTTTGAGAGTTGTTCAATGTGTGGCTTTAATGCTCTGTTTGAACTAAAGGAATGTGGGGCAGCAGAAAGTATAGGAATTTATAGAGATAAATACATTCTAATAATGAAAAAAGAGTGAATTATTGAGGAAAGATCTTGTCTGATTTCAATAGATGTGGCTATTGCCCCCCCAAATTATTTTTATCGGATATAGATGAAAAAGAATGCCTTCTGTTCTCATAGGCTACGTCCTCACAGTTGGATTCGTGAGTTTTGCGGTGTGTTACAAGTATGGACCCTTGGAGAACGAACGCAATATCAACCTGCTGACCTGGGCCTTGCAGCTGCTGGGCCTGTGTTTCATGTACTCCGGCATCCAGATACCACACATTGCCCTTGCCATTATCATCATTGCTCTGTGTACTAAGAACCTGGAGTATCCTATTCAGTGGCTGTACATCACCTACAGGTGACTGGAAGGCAATATAACTGTATTGACATGTACAAGGTGGGATGCAGTTGCAGCAAAAGGATACAGAGGTGTTGACCCGGGAGCCTTTGTTTATGAATAATTATTGTATTATTATTCTACATTTGTTTCTTCCTGAGTCTATTTCTTTAGACTCACTGTAGGCATTTTTATATTATTGTTCTAGTTATTTTATATAAAATAAAAATATCCAGTAAAGTGTCATGTGTTCTTGTTACCACTAGGTGGCACAAATTATATCAGTTTTATACCACATGCCTCAAGTCACCTGGTTTCAGATTGTAGCGCATTGGCTCTGCAGTCCTTGTCTTATTTTAAGGTGTACTTCATAGCATGTTATTGCCTTCCATAATGAATATGGAAAGTTCATAGGTTCTGAGGCAGTTAGTGGTTGTCTATTGTAAATAGTGAAAGTGATACCTAAAGTTTGGGAAACAAATGTAATGGACCTCAGTCTTTTTTTTTAACTAATCAAATAATTTCTTTTCTTTCTGTGTTTAATTTATTTATTTATGTATTTATTTTTTTAAACAGAGTCTCACTCTGTTGCCCAGCCTAGATTACAGTGGCATGATCATAGCTCACTGCAGCCTCAAACTCCTGGGCTTAAGTGATCTGCCTGCTGTCAGCCTCTTAAGTACCCAGTACTACTGGCTCATGCCAGCATGCCTGGCTATTTTTTATTTTGTAAAGATGAGGTTTTACTATGTTGCCCAGGCTGGTCTTGAACTCCTCAGGCGATCCTCTTGTCTTGGCCTCCCAAAATGCTAGGATTATAGGCATGAGCCACTTTGGCCAAATAATTTCTTTATTTTGCTTTCGTATTTTCTCTTTTTAACTTGTATACATTTATAGTTAAGTATAATTTTGTTACATAGATATACAGAGGATGGCCAAAAATATATACTCATTTTAAGAAAGGAATTATATTAAAATTGTAATACTTTTGTATATTGTATCTTGTGTTTCTTACAATTGCAGAGATCAAATGTGAACTTGAGTATTACAATTTTAATACAGTTTTTTCCTTTCTTAAAATGTATATACATTTTTTTGGCACCCTCTGTATCATGTAGTGGTGAAGTCAGGACTTTTAGTGTATCTGTCACCTGAATAATGTACGTTGTACTCAGTTAGGTGATTTCTCATCATCTACCCCTTCCCACCCCTCATACCCTTCTAGGTTTCCACTCTCTGTTATTCCTTAGTCTATGTCCCTGTGTATACATTGTTTAGCTCCCACTTATAAATGAAAACATGAAGTATTTGTCTTTCTGTGGACCCAAATATTATACCATCATTTTCTTGTCATTTTTCCATTCATTGGAAAATAAGTGAATTTTTTGTCATTCATAGTCTAATGTGTCAGGAGTTCATTGTAACTAAAGGTGTCTATGAAAGAAAGGTGGGAGTGATGGCACTTGATGTTCGGGCTGTCTGCTGTATGCTTGGCCCTCTGAAGGGAGCTAGAGGTAGGGATAGATATAGATTACTGATTAATGATTCATGATGTTATTTTGGTGGGCACAGAAAGATGTGTAAAGCAGCAGAAAAGCCTGTCCCTCCTCGTCTTCTGACAGAAGAAGAATATCGGATACAAGGAGAGGTAGAAACCCGAAAGGCTTTAGAGGAACTCCGAGAATTTTGTAATAGTCCAGACTGTTCTGCTTGGAAGACTGTTTCTCGAATCCAGTCTCCAAAAAGGTAAACTCTTGGGCAGACATACCAAGCATTTGTCAGGGTAATCATGACCTTGACTTCTAACAGTGATTATACTTCTAGATAATTATGTTGTATTTGTGGCCTTGGTTTATCTCTTAAACTAGGAGTAGTCAAGAGAAAGGTACACATATCGTATGTTAAGCTGTAGCCTGTTTCCTCAGGGAACTATCTACTCTAGCTTTGATTGTGGCACTGAGTTGGGAAGACTAGAGACATATTAGATTTCCCCTCTGAAAGTTTTGTATTGCTTTGAGTTAATGGGTTTATTTTTCCCTTTTAGTTGAGAGCAACTGTACCAATGAGTATGTGGAGTTTCAGTTTGGAATCCTGTTGGCATAAAGTTTATAGGGCCATAAACACAAATAACTGTGTAATGCTCCTTAATCTTATCAGGATTATGGATGAGTAAAGGAACCTTAGCACTTCCGTAACTACAAAAGGTAGGGTAGTGCTTATGAAGCAGGATAGCGTTGCGAGAATATTGGCCTATGATCCCAGCTTTTCTTCTCTCCTTAGTTTTTGCTTTAGTCTGCTTACCTGCCAGAGTAAGAAGAAGGATGTTGGCAATACTCAATGTAATTTGAACTGTAAGCATATCAAGGGTTTCAGCTTGTTCTTATTTTGAAAGAAAACATGAAGGACAGAAGGCAGATTGCTAATGTGTAATTCATCTTCTCTTTTCTAGATTTGCTGACTTTGTGGAAGGCTCTTCCCACCTCACACCAAATGAAGTTTCTGTCCATGAGCAGGAGTATGGATTAGGGAGCATTATTGCCCAGGATGAAAGCTATGAGGAAACATCCTCTGAGGAGGAAGACTCACATTCCCACTGCCCCCCCATCACACAAAACAATTTCTTGACGTAGGTGGTGGTCAGTTATCTTTATGTGGACTTTCTTGGAGCCTCACTGGCTCATGTGTGTGTTGTGTAGTTGCTCCAGCCCTTTGAATCAGAAGCAGAAACTCCCACTGACATGGGAACCCGAGGCGGCCTCCCTCTGGAAATGGTCTGGGTGGTCTCTGTGGGATCCCTGAGGAAGGAGAGGGAATAAAGTAGTAAATGCCTGTTTATTAATTGATCACCCCTCTTTCATGTTCCCAGAGTAACTGGATAGCCGCAGCACGGTGTTCTAGCTCCTCTTTGTGGTGTTTCTGCCACAGGCTGGCCCTCCCGGGTCAGAACCGGTTCAGACCTTAGGCTGCAGCTTCCAGAGAGAAATCCACAAATCTGAACCTTTTTCACTCCTGTCTTTCTTTTAGTGACTTTAGAATTAAGACTTGATTTAACTCTTTTTTGGAGGAAAATGGATTTTTGTTAGTCTTATAGAACAAGCAGGTGCTCCAGAGTGACAAGCCCAGTTGGCTCCTAAGTCCCAGGAGCTGCTGTTCTGAGCTCTGAATTAGTTCTCACACATGTCGTATTTAAATCTTGTTTGCTTTTAGGGACATGCCTGCAGGCTGTTCAGTAGCTGAGGTGTCTTGGGCTTTTTGTTATGTTCAACTTTTCATTCCATCTTAAAAATCACATTTGTGTTCTGACCTTCCTAGTCCTCCTTGCCCCCCTTTCCTTTTCTGAAGGGTATATTCCCTTACTGTGGAGTATGTACAATTCAGAGTTTATTTCATTTCTTATACATCCTTCTCCTTAGTTTACAGCATTATTCCTGCTAGCTAGGAGAAGTGATCTTGCTTAGGGGATATTCACATGCTTTTTACAGGTATACATTTTTCCTATCAGTGGGTCATATAAGCTTTGAGTTTCTGTGGAATCAAGAAACTATCTCCTTTTTCTTTCCCTTCTTCTCTGTCTACTCATTCCTTTTCAGCCTTTCCTCAATTACCTGTATTCCCCCAAATCTAGCTAAGCCTAAGCCCTGAAATTATCTATGACGTTTTCTGATGTACAGTTTATAGCTGCATAGCTGATAGGAAATGGACCTCCAGGTTATCTTCATGCCTCTGGATGCTCACTCAGCCATCAGGATTAGACACATTTTTCTATGAACTTACTTGCTATTCCATTTCTGACCTGAGATTTATGCTGCCTTTTATTACAGTGGCATTAGTTTCACATTCTTTTCCTGTTGGAAAGTACCCTTATAGACCAGCAGTGTCATTTATGAGGGAGCAAATTCCCAAGTGTCTGTCATTTGCTTGGTTCTTTCTTTGTGATCTTCACCCTCATACCTCAGAAAAAGCTGTAATTACTTTAGCCAGGAAGACAGATGCTCATGGCAAGAGCACAGCATCAGCTTTCCTGGCTTATGTACCATGATCATGGGGAAGGCAGATAACTTTTTTAAAAGTCCTTTTTTAAAAAAGGACTCTTTCAGACCACCCATTTAGCAGGTAATTTTGAAAGGCCCTGACTTCATTGCTGACTTCCAGAGAGTCAGCTCTGAGATGCCCTCTGGGTTGATTGTTTCTACCAGTATTTCCCACAGCCTTAAAGTGTCCTAAAGAGAGAACTACCTCAATTGGCAGCAAAGAGACATAGAATGGAAAGTGAGCAGCATTCAGTCAGGAAGTATGGGTTAGATTTGCAGGATGAAAGGAACTTTGGTAAACTATTAGGCCTTTGTGAATTCTGTACGTAGCAAAATTTTATCCCTCCAACAAGAACTATTAAAACCTCTGAAATACACTTTTAAACTTTATTTATAGAAACTGAGAACTAGCGTATTTGAGCATAAGTTGATTTGAAAGAATAATTCAGTTGTACAAATGAATGGTCTCAGGATTCTCTGTAGATTTTAGTGCCTTCTTCAAAAGAGCCACTCCTTAGGAAGGTGGGAGTTTGCCTCTAGGGTAGCTTTTCCTGATGTGTGTCTTTATTTCAGTGAGAAAGCATTGTAAAAGACTCTCCTCCTATTTTGTTTAGTAAACTCCTGTGAAATACAGTTTCCATCTTAAGACCAGTTTTTCCACTGTTTGGCATTCACGGTGAGTAAAATCGAACTCAATATATTACTCCCTGTCTGGTAGTTGGAGACTTGAGCTGTAGGCGGTGGAGGTGACAGTTGGTCCTGTAGCATGACAATTGTTCTCAGATAGAGAAGGATGATGTTTCTTGTGTGTGCTGTGTGTCCTTGCCCTGCCTGCCTTGTGGCTCTGCACAGATGCTGCAGTGCCTCTGTGCGCCTGGAGATTGCTTGACTTCATAAGCCCTTCAAGCTGCTCTTGTCTCCCTCTTGGCCACTTAGTCTGCTGGCTCAGTCACCACTTAAAAAGCCCCCGTTTAATTTTCTCTGGCAGCTACACCTCTTGCAATTTCAGCACAGTCTCATCTCTTAGGATTGAAGGGATAACTATGGGACGCCCTGGACATTGGAGCCATGTCTGCTGCCACGTCAGCATCTTGATTGGCAAATATCAAGCCATAAATGGGCTCCGGGGCTCAGGTCTCATCAGCATTGGAAATCTATTGCCTCTAATCGTTTTGACCAAGTTGTGTAGAGCGTGACTTCCATTAATGGAGAATGTAAGAGGCAATCGGTATAAAACATTTCCCTTTCACTTTCCCACTCAGTTTGTTTTCGTGAGACCAATGGAATATAGTGATCCCAAACAAGGACAGTTTAGCAACTTGGATACCTTCTAATAAGGAATTCTTATCAGCCACTGCATCCCACCAAAGCTATTTTATTTCTCCCCAAATTCATGATTTTATGGCTGTTACAAAGGGAATTTTGTTGATGACTAGTCTTACTATTCCATTTATGTTAATTCATCCATTCTGGGACTCAGTGCTCTCTTCACTGATTATTCCTTTTAACACAATCCCTATTTGGCATATATTATAGAGGTTTTATGAATAAAAGTTCCCAAATAAGCCTGATAGTCTCCTCAGGCCCTGATATCCACAGAAGGCCTGGGAATGGATTTACATAATTGTCCTCAATCTTTTTGTTGTTTCAGAGAAAAAAAGATGGGCTTAGAGGGATGCCTGCGTAAAAATGGTTCCCAGCTCTGTACTCATAACTTTTCTCTAAATTGAGTACTGAAAGTTGAAGTACGAGGAAAGGAAATTAAATGTCCTTCTAGTATTCCTTTGGACTCAGGTCTGACATATGAGATAATAATCTGTATTGAAATGCCAGGAATTTTATCTGAACCGAGGAAAGGACATTTTGACAGATTTATTGTACTTCCATTTATACAGGCACTGAAACCAAGTAGTAAACATATAAAATAGCCATTGCACAAAGCAAATGCACCTAAACCTTCTATTTCTATTTGTGTTTTAATCAGAAACTGATTTTTTTTTTTTTTTAGGGGAACCTATGTAATTGTTGTGACCCAGTGATATCTTTTGGTAACTTAGCTTATAGGTTCAGGTTGCTATTGAGTTGGATTCTAGATGGATACTACCTTGAAAAGAGTGTTTGGTGCCTTATGTGACAGGAGCCATAGCCTGCTGGGAATAAACAAGGCAGATTCATGCCAACATCAACTTATAGCTTTAGGGGGGATGGGAGTGGGTCACACAGACCCCAAAAATGTGGGATTTGGATTTCTACACCACCCACCCATGTGTGTTGTCTTCCTTTTTTCACACTTGTTTGGTGATAACTTGAAAATGATGAAATCACCTTCTCTGACCTTGACTATAACATGAGTAGTATTCTTATGTTAATATAATAGCTCATCCTATGAGCACTAGAAAGTGTTACAGCCTTCGGTTGCCACAATTCCCATGTTTACGGAATTGATGTTGAAGTAGCAGAGCTAAGCAATTACTGGGTAAGTTTTAGCTTGTGGGTAATGTCTTAGCACTATTTAAATAAAAGATTTGTCATTTGGGGCAGCATCTGTGGCTGAGTGGGTAGGGCGCTGGCCCCATGATACCCAGGGTGGCAGGTTCAAACCTAGCCCTCGCCAAACTGCAACAAAAAATAGCCGGGCATTGTGGTGGGCGCCTGTGGTCCCAGCTACTCGGGAGGTTGAGGCAGGAGAATTGCCTAAGCCCAGGAGCTGGGTTGCCATGAGCTGTGTGACGCCACGGCACTCTACCGAGTGTGATAAAGTGAGACTCTGTCTCTACAAAAAAAAAAAAAAAAAGGATTTGTCATTTGTGTTAAAAATAAATGTTCATGAATGTTTGTAAAGAAAAAAATTATCAGGGATGTGTCTTTGCCCAGGGGTCTCATTTTTACCCTCTTTTCTATAAGAAAAAATAATTATGTATTATGAATTTTTTCATTTTTATTGTACAGTTTGTAAGTAATCACAATTTTAATAAAGTTTTATAGACATATTAGTCTCTTACTGAGCATGTGCTTTTCTTGTTTGGTGCTCTTGTTTTAAGTAATCAGCTATTAACTCCTCAATTTCGTCTTTCTGATGAGATGGCTTTTTTCTTACCTACCTCTTCCCATCCTGAGTCTGTGGTGGTCTATTTCTATCCTTGGACTGGATGATTTCCCAAAAGGTCACATCTCTAAGGGGTATTTTTGCAGGAGTAGCAGCTTATACTACTGTACTACTCATAGAAAACTAAAACAAAGGTTATTCCTAGTCCAGGGAGCTGCTCTGATGGTGCTTCAATTCTCTTCTCTATTATTATTATTTTTGGCATAAAGTATGTCTTGTTTGTCCATTGGGGCAGGAGGAAGACTGAAGATCAGCTATGGGATGCCTACTGAGAGCTTTGCATAGGGTGGAAGAGGGGCAGAGCTGTAGTGAACATTAGGAGCCATGGAATAATTCTTGTGTCTGGGCCCAGCTTCTGCACTAGGAGTCTGGTACCTTCTGTTTTCTTCTATGTGCTGGCTATTTTCTTTACTCTAAGAATTCTTTATAACATTTATACTAATTCTGTATCTGTCTTCTCTCTTCTCAGTTATTTAGACTGTATGGAAATCCCTTGTCTATTTTTTTAAGACAGAAAATAGGCAAAATAGGAAGAAAACAGCATGTGGACCATATGTAAATTCATGTAGATTAATGCACGTAAATGACATCTTTTCTTCCTTCTATGCTACTAGGTAAAAGACACAGGTGATCATTAATGGTTGAATTAATAAAAACTTAAAGCATAATTGCTGGGTGTGCTACATCATAGGGTTTTAACGAGGATAAAAAAAGATTAGGGTGAATAAAGCAGCTCTCAGACTTTAACATGCACTGGAATCACCTGGTAACAGTACAGATTCTGATTCAGTAAGTCTGTAGTGGTGTCCAGGATGCTGCATTGCTGATAAGCTCTAGGTGACTCAGATGCTGCTGGTATGTGGACCTCATTTTGAATAGCAATGACGTAAAAAGTGTTTAGCTTGTTGCCTGGCACATAGTAAGTACGTAGTAACTGGTAAATGCTGTTGACTGTAGATAATTCATAAGAGCCAAGAAGACCCTCTTGTCCACAAATACATTTCTTACCATATCTAAAAATTTCATATTTTTATTATCTAACATATATATGTGTATATATATATTTTGTTTGTTTGTTTTGTTGGTTTTCCTGGGACCATAGGCACATGCTACCATGCCTACTAAATTTATTTTTGTAGGCTTGGCACCCGTAGCACAGTGGTAATGGCACCAGCCAGATACACCAAGGGTGGCAGATTTGAACCTGGCCCACGCTTGCTGAACAACGACAACTGCAACAAAAAATAGCCGGGTATTGTGGCGGACACCTGTTGTCCCAGCTACTTAGGAGACTGAGGCAAGAGAATTGCTTGAGTCCAGGAGTTTGAGGTTGCTGTGAGCTGTGATGCCATAGCACTCTACCAAGGGTGACATAGTGAGACTCTGTCTCAACAAAAAAAACAAAATTATTTTTGTAGAGATGGAGTCTTGCTATATTGTCTAGGCTGGTCTCAAACTCCTGGTCTTGAGTGTTCCTCACACCTTTTAGCTTCTTAAAGTGCTAACCACCATACCAGGCTATGAATTTTATTGGATATAAATTACACTTTAAAAAGCTGACCCCCCACTCCCAAATCCTTTGGTGCTGATTTCTGGTAAAGTTGAAAGGGCAGCAATATGATAAAATCAATTCACTCATCAATTTTCTAAGAGATACTAACTTTATAAAAGGTACTTGCTGAGCACAGTGGCTTCCACCTATAATCCCAGCACTCTGGGAGGCCAAGGTGGAAGGATCCTGTGAGCTCAGGAATTCAAGACCAGACTGAGGAAGAGCAAGACCCTATCTACCAAAAATAGAAAAAACTAACTGGGTGTGGTGGCAGGCACCTGTAGTCCCAGCTACTCAGAAGGCTGAGGCAGGAGGATTGCTTGAGCATAGGAGTTAGAGGTTGCAGTGAGCTATGATGTTGTCACTGCACAATAGCTGGGTGACAGAGCAAGACCCTGTATCAAAAAACAAGATAATGTCAAAGTGACATTCCTGTTTTCCTTGAGACCATTTCATTGTCAAAGAAAAAGTGTTTTTGCATTTTTCAGCAGCAGCTTCAGATTATCACCTCTCAGAATAATCTTGTCCCATAAGACAACTTGGGTTAGATCATTTTTTTCCTGAATATTCTGCTGATAAATAAACAATTGCTTAACATTCCACTCAAATATATTCTCCAGATCAGCAGTTATATCAAATGCAATGAATCCCAGACCACTCCTTTCTCCAGGCCCGGTGAAGTCTACATGTTATAGCATGATCTGCAGCATGTGCAGCCGATCACTCCTGTCTTGGAAGGCAGTGGTGATGAAGCGGCTAACAGTGAATGCTGCCAGCATGCTCAGCGAGAAGGCAGACGGCAGCAGCACCATGTTCATTACCACCTTCTCCCACTAGCCCCGTCTCCGCGTGCACACCCAGGCTCCCATTTGGGTGGCAGTCTGGCTCCCTTGGGACCATGTTTTGACGTCATTTCCACTCAGCTGTCTCTCTGTCTCTTTTCCTTGCCTTTTTCCCCCTTCAAGTATATATAGTCCGTCAATAAATTATGCAAAGGCAGGTTGATTTGGAACCGCTGACAGGCCAGGCTTATGCAGAGTGCTTCTTTGAGAGCAATGGGGTTTGGACCTTGCACCAGGTGGCGTGGCTGGGAGTTGGAGAATCAAATCTGTCTTCAGTTAGGATCTAAAATTGTCTGATTTGTTCTTTATGCATGCCTGAGAGAGAGGGTAGTAGGTAGAGGGGCCTGCTTTCCTGGGTAGATGAGGGAGTACTTGGAAAACAGGGTTTTATGAGCTGGTCATTTATCAGAGGGAGCTATTTCCCACTGGGCTAATGCCCAGGAAACAGCATCTCAGGGTCTTACTCAGTATCCTGGTAGTGAATAAGAGTTAAAATTAGAAACATCAGATCTTGGGATGCAACCTATGGCAGCCTTAGGGCCAGGAACCTGCGTTCTGTTCCTGACTGCTGTGTACCAGCTGTGGAACTGTGGGCACATTGTGTAACCTCTCCAAGCCTGGCATTTGCCTCTAGTTTTTCTTTTCAATGAGTATCTATCTACCTTGCTTTCCTTAAGCTAGTGCTATTCAGTGAGACCATACAGGTAGGCGTTCAGTGAAACCGGGAGAGCTATGCAAATGTGAGATATTACTAAAACCTTTAACCTTTGGGTCTCCATGAGGGGGTCTCATTCATAGGGTGGAGAGGAATTTGTGGATTTGTCTGCTTAGCTCCCCCAAATAATCTCATAACACTCTTCACTCCCAATTAGAAAGAGTTGATTTAAGGGAAATACGATTTCTTTGCTAGGAAGACACTCCACCCTACCTTGACAAAATTCTTGACTTGTCCTTAGGAAATCATTGCCTTGGCTATAAATTCCATTCTCTGGGTCTCATTTCCAAATTGAGGAGACAAGGGAGCAAGAACTTTCCCCCTAAGCTTCTCACCTAAGGCCAGCCAGGAACCCTTTCCTACCTGCAGAGAGACTTAGCGTCTCCCTCTGGGGTGCAGGCCATGAAGGGTTAAGTAGCCACGCCTTCAGCAGGAGCAGCCTGGACTTTGTGCTGAGCAGCCACCTCTGGCCTCCCCTGGTCTGACAGGCACAGGAAGCCCCAGCTGGAGGAGGCAGCACAGAGAAAGGTCAGAAGAGTAGACGCTGCTGGCGAGAGGAGGGCAGCCTCTGCTGGCTTCCTGACACCATGGACAGCTCCCATTAACTAAGACGCCTCTCCACCCCTGGGAACCCAGGCTCTTTTGCCCCCTTCCTGTCAAATTGGGATTTCATCCACCATTCTCAAGGGACACTGAAGTTATACCCAGTTCCAGTGTTGGGTGAGTCCTGCCTTGACCTGTCACTGCTCCTCATTAACACCTAGGGGTGCTCCATCTGGGCCTTGCTTCCTTCCCCCTCCCCACCTCTATCCAATCATATTCTCCCTCTCCTCAAATCTAAAATCCAAAGAAGATGCCTTCCCCCAACCTACCATCTGCTGCTCACCTTCCTGCCAGGTTAGTTAGCTTTATTTAAAATCTGGAAAACATGAGATAATAATAGTGCCTACTTCATGGGATATTGTCAACATCAAATGAAGTATTCTATGTGGTGTTTAGAGCCCTGCCTGGCCCATGGTAAATGCTGCATGCTTTCTAGAGACTGCTATGATCAGTAGGTATTCTTACTGCTTCCTCAATTGTGTCCTAGGAGGTAACAGGTACTTTCTTTTCCTGGAGCTTGAGGAAGGCTGAGTGAGGGGAGAAGGAAGCCTGTGCCCCTTGGTGCTCTGCTTCCATCCTGCTTGCCCCCCTTCTCCCCTACCCCAGTTCAGAGATGCGGGCGAGAAGGAGGATGTGTCTCTTTTACTCCTGTTCCGGGGTGGCACTGACCATTGTACAGTTCTGTCCTCACCCCGCCGCCCCGCCAACTCAGTCTCACAGGGAAGGCTGGACTTCCTCCTCAGGGAACACCTGCCATGTGCCTAGTGCGTGCAGACTTGAGCCTCACAACCTGCCTGCAGCTCCAACTCTGTTCCTCCTTGCCTACTCCTACCCACTACTGAAAAGCTGGGTGTGTCCCTCCAGGGCAAGGTCCATGCCAGAAGTTTACAGGAAAGCTGGAGATGGAAAACTCAGGCTGGATGTGCAGTTCCTTCAGAGGTCCTGACAGCCACTTGTTTGTTGGGGAAATAACCCCCACCTTCATTTTCTTTGAAGTATTCTCTCTTTTTTTTTTTTTTAAAAAGAGACAGAGTCTTACTTTGTCACCCTCGGTAGTGTGCCGTGGCGTCATAGTATACAGCAACCTCCAGCTCTTGGGCTTAGGCAACGCTATTGCCCTAGACTCCTGTGTAGCTGGGACTACAGGCGCCTGCCACAATACCCAGCTATTTTTTTGTTGTTGTTGCAGTTTGGCTGGGGCCGGGTTCGATCCCGCCACCCTTGGGATCACTGAGCCACAGGCGCCACCCTGAAGTATTCTTTTATAGAGGCACTCCTTCCTCTGTCCCCTAACTCGTCACCTCCAGTCCCATTTGTTTGTTTGTTTGTTTATTTAGACAGAATCTCACTCCGTCACCCTGAGTAGAGTGCCGTGGCATCATCACACCTCATAGCAACCTCAAGCAGTTGGGCTCAAGTAATTCTCTTGCCTCAGCCTCCAGAGTAGCTGAGACTACAGGTGCACACCACCACATCCTGCTAATTTTTCTATTTTTAGTAGAGACAAGGTCTTGTTCTTGATCAGGCTGGTCTCTAACTCCTGAGCTCAAGCAGTCCACCCACCTTGGCCTCCCAGGGTGCTAGGATTACAGATGTGAGCCACTGTGCCCAGCCATCCCCATTTATTTTAAATTTTTTTTTAAGAGACATAATCTCACTCTGTTGCTGGGGCTAGAGTACAATGGAATCATAGCTCACACCAACCTTTAACTCCTGGGCTCAAATGATCCTCCTCCCTTAGCCTTCTCAGTAGCTGGGACTATAGGTGTGCCCCACCATGCCTAACTAATTTTTAAAAAATCTTTTGTGGGCTCGGCGCCTGTGGCTTAAGCAGCTAAGGCGCCAGCCACATACACCTAAGGTGGCAGGTTCGAATCCCCAGCCCGGGCCTGCCAAACAACAATGATGGCTGCAACCAAAAAATTGCCGGGCACTGTGGCGGGCGCCTGTAGTCCCAGCTACTTGGGAGGCTGAGGCAGGAGACTCGCTTGAGCCCAGGAGTTGGAGGTTGCTGTGAGCATGATGCCATGGCACTCTACCCAGGGGGATAGCTTGAGGTTCCATCTCAAAAAAAAAAAAAAATCTTTTGTGGAGATGGGAATCTCACTATATTGCACAGGCTGGTCTCAAACTCCTGGCTTCAAGTGACTCTCCTGCCTCGCCTTTCAAAGCTCTGGGATCACAGGTGTGAGCTGCCATGCTTAGCCCCAGTCCCCAGCTCACCATAGCAATGAAAGGAGAGGAGAGACCTTTGGAAGAAATTCTGAAACGGGTATAGGAGGGTTGGGTGACTGAAATAGGAGCTGTGAGAGGTAAGGGATTGGGAAGAACGCTAAATAGTTGGAGAGCCAGGACCCTGGCCAGGGCCCCAGCACAAGAGGAAGAGGGCTTTCTGTACCTGGCTGTGGCACAAAGCTTGGTTGATGCTTTCCTCCACAGCCTCTCTCTTGCAGCCACCACTCTGCTCCTCTGTTGTACCTTCCTTCCCTGGGGGGTCAGAGGCAGGTGTTTCTATCCCCCCTCCCCCGAGCAGAGGACTCTCCCACCTCCCACGGAGAGTTTCCACCTCCCTCAGTGTGGACTAGCCTAGAGGCCTCACTGAGGGTGGGGGCCTCTCTATGGAGCCAGGGCAGTGGGGAACGGGCTCTATTAGGTCCTTCAGCCTTCCTCCCCTCAGATAATTACTGCCCCTAAAGCTGAGCTGGCATCAGCAAAATGCCCCACTCACTTCCAGGTTCAGTAGCCTCTCTGGACATGTCTCTCCTGGATGGTTCCGTGGGGGTGGAGGACCTTGTCCTCCTGGAACCCCTGGTGGAGGAGTCTCTGCTAAAGAACCTTCAACTGCGTTATGAAAACAAGGAGATTTATGTGAGTGCATATGGGTCCCCTCGGTGTGGGCGGCCAGAGGGTTCACATACTCCCACCTTCACCACCCCGGTTTCATTCCTTTCACCTTCCCTCCTGTTTCCAGACCTACATTGGGAATGTGGTGATCTCGGTGAATCCCTACCAACAGCTGCCCATCTATGGCCCAGAGTTTATAGCCAGTTATCGGGACTGTATCTTCTATGAGCTGAAGCCCCATATGTGAGTAGAAGGACGAAGGGAAAGCTGCTGGGCCCCGGCTGCTGGACAGTGAGGCATCCTAATTTCTTCTAGCCCTTCCCCTGAAGGGGGTTCTCCAGCTATCCTGCTTCCCTGGCCCTCTGGAGGCCCCTTTCTAGGCCTTTCTTTGCTAGGCTTGTCCAGGTGGGGAGAGTGGATGTAACCAGGAGCTGGAGACTAAGAGAAAGGTGACATCTTGGACTGGCCCACATTGGTCATTGCCTGTTTTCTACTCCCAAGCTACGCACTGGCAAATGTGGCATACCAGTCACTGAGGGACCGGGGCCGAGACCAGTGTATCCTCATCACAGGCGAGAGTGGAGCGGGGAAGACTGGTGAGACCCCTGGCTGGGGGAGCCCGTGGAGTCACCTCTCCAGCCACCCCCTTGTCCTACACCAAACCAGGACTAGTCCTGTGCCCCCCACCAAGCTCTCTTTCCAGTTTTTCTGACTGTGAGGGGTGGTGAGGTGCTGGGGTGATGGAAGCTGGGGGGCTTCCCAGGTGGGAACCCACACAAGCCTTTCTTGTGCTCAGAGGCTAGTAAGCTGGTGATGTCTTACGTGGCGGCCGTCTGTGGGAAAGGGGAGCAGGTGAACTCTGTGAAGGAGCAGCTGCTTCAGTCAAACCCAGTGCTGGAGGGTGAGAATTCCAGTCTCTGCCCTCTCTGTCCGATATCCCCCACCAAGGCCAGAGTCACTCGGCCCCAGACCCCCTTCCCCAGTGCTCCCCAAACGCTGCTCTCATTCAGCCTGAGAAGTCTAAGCCTGGCGCAGGGCCTGGAAGCCGTCCCCACTCCCTTCTCTAGTCCCTCCTCTCCCCTCAGACACCTCACTTCTCCCTTTCTTCATCTCTGCAGCTTTTGGCAATGCCAAGACCATTCGCAACAACAACTCCTCTCGATTTGTGAGTGAACAACCTCCCAACCTGCGGGGAGAGGGTGCAGGGAGGGGGCTGAGAGGGAGGAATGCTGCCCGGACTGGACTGGACCGTGCACAGGGAGGTGAGAAGGGGAGGAAACAAAGCCCCTATCTCTGGTTTCTCTGAAGGGCAAATACATGGACATTGAATTTGACTTCAAAGGATCCCCCCTCGGCGGTGTCATCACAAACTGTATGTGTCCCCCATGTCACTCACTTCTCTCTGCTGCCCGGCCACAACACTCCTTCCTGCTAGTCTGATGCTATAGGAAGGTGGAATATTGGGCTTCCCGGTGACCTCCCAGCGACTAGGAACACCAGTGGAGGGTGGAGTTAAGAGGGAAGCTAGGCCTCTCTCAAGGCCCTCAGGATGTTATTTTCCAATTCTCTGCCAGACCTGCTTGAGAAATCCCGCGTGGTGAAGCAGCTCAAAGGGGAAAGGAATTTCCACATCTTCTATCAGCTGCTGGCAGGAGCAGACGCACAGCTGCTGAGTATGTGCCTGCCCTGGGTCTCCAACCCCCAGAACCTCTGGTCCCGTTGGGTCCCCTCTTCCTTTGAGCCTCCTTCCAGACTTTCCCCTGCTGTATTCCTCACCCAGAGCCTCAGGCACCCATTGTTGGGAACAAATCCCCTGACCTATCTATTGTCTTCCCTTCTGAGGTTTTATTGTCAGGGATGTGCCTTCTTGCCTCTCCCTGCTCTCACTCCTCCATCCTGCCTGGGTTCCTCTTTCCTCCAGCTAGCTTCACACACGGAGCACTCACTCATCTGCAGCTGCCTTCCTACCTTCAGTGACAGGCTTTATTGCCCACTCAGCAGGGAAGCAGGCAGGTGTTGTGCTGAGGAGCTTCAGTGAGCTCTAGGTGAATCTGTCCTGGGCTTACGTTTGCCTCATTCGGGACCCTGACTCTGATTTTCCCTTCTTAGCTCTATGGAGGTTTCATTCATTCATTCATTCAAACATTTCTTGAATACTATGATCAAATACTATGCTAGCCTCTAGGGATACAGGGTTCAGTAAGACATGAGCCCTGTCCTCAAAGAACCTAGAGTCTTCTAGGGATGGCATAACAGACATGAGAACAGTTCCACTGCAGTACCGTGTGATCAAGGCCATCAGGCCCATGCAGGTGGCTACGAGCAGAAGGCATGGAGTCCCTGCCTTGTGCTAGGGAAGCGCCTACGCCAGCCTGGATGCTGGACTGGCCTCAAGTGGCTGTGGGTGGACATCACTAGAGGATCTGGTAGGATGTTAAGTCCTGCCAGAGTTCACTGTGTGTTTGTTTTCTGGGTATTCTGTGCTGAACCTTTGCTATCTCCTTTTCCTTTCTGGAGATCTCTGTAATCTCTAAGAGCCCCGCGGTCTTATTCTCCTTCCTGTCTTAATAGTCTTGATCATGTTCCATTTGTGTAAATTGTAACGTCTTGTTCTGCTGATTTTGTCACCTCTTGGTTTAAGCTGACTCAGGGTCAGGTTTCCCTCGTGTCATTGTCCCCAGGCTTTCTGACTCATTCTCCCTCCAGATCCTCCTCCTAAGCAGGCTCTTGTTTCAAAATTGTGTGCCAGGAGAAGCTGCCATTAAACTCTAGTTTGAGGGATACTCCCTGATTCTCAGATCACTTACATGACAGATAATTGACATCTCTCAAGCTCCATGATTAACCCATCCTTACCATCTCTGGTAAACAGCTTTGATCATTCCATTGATTCACTTATTAAAAAGAGAAAAGATCCTTCATGCCAGACAGGTGCACAAAATATGGAGATGAGAAACACAGTCCCAACACAGAAGTTGCTTGTTTGTGGGAGCTAGAAAAAAACAAACTTAGTCCAGGTGATATGAGTTGGGACAAAGATTCACTATTGGAACAATGAGAGCCATTTGACTTAGTCCCTCAGTATTAGAGAAAACTCCAGAAGAGGTGAAAGGATCAGGGGACACACTATTTGCTGCTTTGTTGGTACTCAGTGGACAGACAATGAATGGACCAACCTGGGCCAAGAGTGAGGTGTTGAGCTAGAGGTGGGGGAGAGGTCTGTGCTTATCCTTCTTCCCCCACCTTCATCCTTCCAGAGGCACCTGAGCAGGATGGAGGGTTTGCTTATTTGTTATTATTTTAAACAAAATTTAAACAAAGTTTAAAACTCTGAAAGTGGGGGGTTGAAGAATAGAATAAGGCTTTTCTTTCATAAACGTTGGAAAGGAAACCCAACAATATGAATGCCCAAACCCTGAATACTACTTAAAAATTCAGTCTATCATCATAGGAATTAATGACCCCAAAAGGCAAGAGGCAAGGGAAGCACTGAAAACAAAAATGGCTACTTTGAATAGATGAAAAAGCCCACCTGGGGCAACACTGTGAGGTGTCAAGGCTGGAGGCCCCCCGAGCCCAGTACTAACCCTCTTCCCCTCGTCAGAGGCTCTGAAGCTTGAGCGGGATGCAAAAAGCTATGCCTATCTGAACCAGGAGGTGTTCAGGGTGGATGGCGTGGATGATGCTGCCAGCTTCCAGGTTGTACAGGTAGGTGCCCAGGGTGGGCTAGACTTGGGCCTGTAGGTTGTCTCTCTCTCTCTTTTTTTTTGCAGTTTTTTTTGCTGGGGCTGGGTTTGAACCCGCCACCTCCAGCATATGGGGCCAGTACCCTACTCCTTTGAGCCACAGGCACTGCCCATTTTTTTTTTTTTTTTTGAGACAGAGCTTCAAGCTGTCCCCCTGGG